CAGTACCCAGCCGGAGCCGTCCAATCAGGAAGCCGGGCGCCGTCTAATGACGCGACGCCCTGCTTTCTGATTGGCCGGGAAGCTGGCTTCATGCTCCCTCGTCATCTCATGACAAGAGAGCATGGAGCCGGCCAATCAGAAAGCAGGGCGTTGTGTCATTACACGGCGTCCGGCTTCCTGATTGGCCGGCCAGACGGCTCCGGCTGGGTACCGAACGAAGGCCGCGTTCTCGCTGGAGAGGCCCGGGGTTGACAGGCTGCACATACTAAGGTAAGAGGGGACTTTTATGTTAATCAGGAAGCCAGGTGGCGAGTCATTACACGCCACCTGGCTTCCTGAATGGGACTTTCGTTACTCGGTAATTGGTATCGGCGAGTACCGAAAAAAAATTATCGGTACCAAAATACCGGTATCGGTGCATCCCTAGTTTCCTTCCGTTTGGTCGAACTCCAGATTCTCTGCTCCAAAGTTCGGACTCTGCAGTGCAGGAGCCAACTGACTGCATGAAGGTCTCGGGCCTCATGGTTTTCTCCTTCCAGGCAGTTTCATATGCTCAATTTTACTCCAGGCTGTTGTATCCCAACATCCTGGCTGCATGGGACAAGAGGACACTGTCTCTGAATTAGCCAGCTGTCTAACCATTAGGGACCTGGCTTGCCCTGCTGTAGCGAGTTGCATTTTCTTGTGCTAAATTCTGGAAAATTCTTCCACCCTGTGGTTTCAAAGGTTCTCATAACAGATGCTACTCTTATCGTGCTTGGGAGCAGTCCTTCTTGCCCTCTCAATACAAGGGACTTGGTGGTCGGAGGAAGCTCAACATAGATCAACACAAGGGCACCTAGAAAACAATTGTTTACCATGTGCACACTATAACACTGAGTTTCGGTACGCTGCATAATAATGCAGCAGGTTTGCATTGCTATGCAGCACAATGCACGTCGGTGCATAGGGTTGGATAAAGTGTCGTTTTGTGACATTTCAATAAAGTAGTGTGCAGGCTATTGGGAATGAGCCCACAGGAATTTGGTTTTAATTGCAGCTGGAAAACCCCCTTTAACCCATTGTTTATAGTTTCTTAGCATGCCAAACCACGCATGTACCATTGTATGACTTTTTGTTTCCCCTGTTTAGGTACAAGGCCAGCCACTTATGGTTCAGGTTAGTGGAGGACAACTAATTACATCCACAGGACAGCCGATTATGGTACAGGCTATGAGTGGACAAGGTCAAACTCTTATGCAAGTTCCAGTGTCTGGATCCCAAGGCCTTCAGCAGGTTGGTGTTCCAGCTTCTAAATTTGTATGTCTGGCATGGATGGTTATTGTTTTTGTTTTTTTTGGGGGGGTGGAGGTTTCTGTTCAACAGATTGAATATACTTAAACAAATACAATGTTGGCATTGTGTCCATTTGTCTCATGTTACAGATTCAGCTGGTGCAGCCAGGGCAGATCCAGATCCAGGGAGGGCAAGCATTGCAGGTTCAAACACAGCAGGGGCAAACCCAACAAATAATTATTCAGCAACCACAGACGGCAGTTACCGCCGGCCAAAGTCAGGTATGGAGTGCAGACATTTGTGGAAACCTTTGCCTTTTATTTTCAATATCTGTTTACAGTACTCCATTTTTTTCTTTCCCCAATTGTTAGAACCAGCAACAGATTGCTGTTCAGGGTCAGCAGGTGGCACAGACAGCTGAAGGACAAACTATTGTTTACCAACCAGTAAATGCTGATGGAACAATTCTACAGCAAGGTAGGTTTGCACTCTGCCTGGATTTTGTAGTTCATTGACAAGTTCAGCCTTACCAATTTCTGTAGTTTGCTACCAGCTTTGTCTCAGTTTGTCTTAATGTGATAATTGCTGTGTTCATAGTTTATGGAAATAACTTGCCTTCTCTTTTCCTTGTTTGCTTTTTTTTTTCTATTAAGTTACAGTGCCTGTTAGTGGAATGATAACCATACCAGCTGCTAGCCTGGCAGGTGCTCAGATTGTTCAAGCTGGAGGGAACACCAATACAACCAATAGTGGTCAAGGGACAGTTACTGTCACTCTGCCTATGACAGGAAATGTTATGAACTCCGGGGGTATGGTAATGGTAAGTATAAAGTAATTGTGTATAGTGTAATTTTGTAATTGGCGGTTCTTCTCATCTTACATAATTTATCCACCCTTTATTTAGATGGTACCTGGTGCAGGCTCTGTTCCAGCACTGCAAAGAATACCACTTCCTGGAGCTGAAATGCTAGAGGAGGAACCTTTGTATGTAAATGCCAAACAGTATCACCGAATATTAAAGAGAAGGCAGGCAAGAGCCAAATTGGAGGCAGAGGGCAAAATCCCCAAAGAGAGGAGAGTGAGTATCTGGCTTTGAGATGTATCACAAGATAAATCGAGATAAATGCTTTTGGAGTTTTTCACACGGCTTCCAAAAGCAGCTAAATGAATAACTGAGCCGAAGCAAAGTGAGCCATTCGGCTACTCACTTCAGCCGGGTATGGCTGATTTCGGCTTCCTTCTGTTCAGCTAAACATGCTCAGCATGTTCGACACAGCCGATCCAACATGTGGATTGGCTGAGCTGAACATCCGGCAGTTCATTCACTGCTGTTCGCCCCTATTCTCATAGGGGCCGAACAGCAGTGAGTGAATAGCTAAATGCAATCGAGCGGCACTCGGCTTGGTTATTCTGTTCGCTACCTCGTGAGTTGGTGAACAGATACAAAAAAAAATTTAAAGGAGGAACAAAAAAAGCATTGGGCCCCCTCCTAAGCCATACCAGGGTCCCCCCAGGAAAAGCACCTTGTGGCCATGCCGATGGGGACAAGGGCCTCTTCTCCACAACCTGGCTCCGGTGGTTGTGGAGGTCTACTGGCAGGGTGGCTTATTTGCATCGGAGGCATTCCATAAAGGGGGCATCCAGATGCTACACACGCCCCCCCTGTGAATGAGTACCCCTACTCATTCACTAAAGGATTAAAGAAAAATATAAATAAACACACCACACTAAAAATCCTTTAATTGGAAAAAAAAAACTAAATTTTTGTGACTATTTCTTGAATTAATAAAAAAAAAAAAACAATTAAAAAACAAATTCTCCAACGAAGTAATCCAGGGTCAATCACGTCATCCAGCGATGTCCACACCGACTCGTCGAAATTTATTTTGAAAATTTGATGGCCGCCCACACGCAAAGAACTCCCGCAGCAACAATTTGACAGATGCCGGCTGAATGTAAACAGATAGGGCTAAGCTAGCAGTGACATCACCACTGGCTCCGCCTATCTATTGAAAGTTGGCCAGCAGCTCTCAAATCGCTTTTGCATGTCCCAGCCAAATGAAAACATACGGATGGAGTCGGCTGGCTCTACCCATTTGTTGTCATACAATGACCGGCTACTGTCGTCAAATGACCTGAGGACAGTAGCCTGTCATTGTATGAACAGATGGGCGAAGCATATGTGTTCGGCTCGGTTGAGCTCTTCAGCTGCTGTACGGGCTATTGTGAATAACCCGTGCGTGAGCCTAAGGATTAGCCGAAGCTATGGCTATATCCTTCGGCTCTTTAGTGAATAACCCCCTTTGTGTTGCACACATCTATGAGATCTGACAAAGGCAGATCCCCTGTTACTGTATTTAACATAGGTGAAAAGTTATCAGTTATTCCAAGAAATTAGAAGTTTTATATATGAACCATTAAAGTATTACCAGTTCTGTGTAAATGCTAATTTGCTGGGTTTCAGAAGCTATTTTTTATTGTACAGTGTAAAAAAAGAGCTGGTGACTAATGCATGTGTGTATGTACACACAGAGCACACGTGGAACTACAAGTGACATCATTTGTTATTGCAGTTTCAGGATGGTTTGCTTGCTTTACCTGCCTCCTCCTGAGTCATGATGGGTCTGAGCGGGCTTCTATTAGCATTGATTTGGAAGAGATATGGAGCAATAATCACAATGTACTCCTGTTTGCGTTCAGATGTATGCAGCTACATACTTGAGGGATTTTTTTTTTTTTAGGGTTGTCAGTGATGCAAATAAAATTCATGTTTGGGGTCATTCTGTTACAGATGGGTATAATGTAGCAGAGCAGGAAAATTGAAGGAGACCCTGTGCTCATTCCTGTCTAGTTCTTATATTCTGGCTTGCTATACAGTAGGTGCCTTGGTGGAGAGCAAAACAGGATCTAATAATGCACAGTTGCAATACTTAAACAGAAGAAAACTCTGATAAATGTATCTTGCAGTGCCTCTTGCCAATGCTGATAAAATCTCTGTCATAACAATGGCAGCGGGATAATACATCCTCTCTGATGGTAAAGTATCAGTAATCAAATCGTTGTCTGCTACTACTGAGCTCTCCCGGAAATGCTAGTTTCCAGGAAAAATAGCAGATTAGGAGTTACTTGTTTTTAATCAAGTAATTGTAGTGGGTTTTTTTTTCTTGGTGACATAGCAGTAGCTGCCCCCGCATTTCTTGCGGATACTGCGTTCTTAGAGTAGAAGGGAGTAACGAGAATGCAGAGTGCTGACATTAAGTATCTGTTGTAAATCTAATGTTTGGATTTCCTTTTGTTTTCTCTTTTGTAATATTTCAGAAATACTTGCATGAGTCTCGGCACCGCCATGCCATGGCTAGAAAGAGAGGAGATGGAGGACGTTTTTTCTCCCCTAAAGAAAAAGAAGAACATCTCTTAAATGTACAGGTACGTTAAATTAAGATTATGCTGTTTTCTCTGTGTTTTGCTGAATATTCTCTTTGGCTGGATTTTCTTCCTATTTTTATTCAGTCTGTTCTAACTGATGCTATTGAGAAAGGTTATAATGACCCAAAGAGTGACATCTGTGTATGGTTTTCTCATTCGTTGACAGTTAAGCTTTGCACTAGGTAATCTGTATAAGTAGGGCTCTCTGTAAGTAATAATGCATGAAGGGTAAGAAGGTATTAGGTACAACCCCAATTCCAAAAAGTTGGGACGCTTTGTAAAATCTACAAAAAACAAAACAAAACAGAATGCAAATCTCCTAAACCCATATTTTATTCACAATAGAAAACATATCAAATGTTTAAACTGAGAAAACAGACCATTTTAAGAAAAAAAGAAAAGGTAATTTTGAATTTGGCAGAAACTCGTCTCAAAAAAGTTGGGACAGGGCAACAAAAAGCTGGCAAAGTATGTGGTACTAAAGCTGGCCATACACCTTACAATTATCTGCAGATTTTCTGTGGTCAGATGGAAAAGGTGCAACAGATTCCTCCATCTACACTTAACTGTGTGGATGGAGTAATCCCCCCCTGGGCCAATCTGTTGCACTTTTTCCATCTGACCACAGAAAATCTGCAGATAATTATAAGGTGTATGGGCACCTTAAGAAGGAAAAGCTGGAAGAACGTTTTGCAACTAATTAGGTTAATTGGCAACCGGTTAGTAACATGATTGGCTATAAAAAGAGCATCTAAAAGGTGCCCATACACCTTACAATTATCGTACTATAATTGTATGCGATCGCGTTTTCGTCCGATAATCGCAAGGTTCATGGGCAGTGTACAACTGCAAATACTGTACAATCATACGACTTTTTTACTTTCAAGCAGGTTTGAAAACTTTAATCGATCGTGCGATTTTCACAAGGTTAGCGGCGTTTCCGTACGTCAAAAATCGTATGATCTACACTTTTCATGCGCAGTCGAAAATACGCGCCGTCGATTACCGCAGTTCGTCCAGGTGCTTTTCTTTAATTACGGCTAATTGAACCTTGCGATAATCTGGGCAGGATGGGGCCCACTCCACAAGTGGAGTAGACAGAATCTGGAGCAATTGCCCAGTGTGTGTATAAATAATTATATGTAAACACTATTTGATGCTAGGATTTCGTACTGGATGCATATAAACACATATGCGTGTAAACGCATTTCATTTATCTAGAAGCATAAACACAGCATCTAACCTGACCGATATAGAGCACAAAAACGCAAGTGGCAAGTGTGAATGTAACTTAAGTATTCTGTTATTTTTCACCATAGCACTGGGAGGGAAAAAATGCATAAGACTAATGGTTCTATTCCTTTCCAAATAGGGGTCCCCTATTTTTATTTTAGACGTCTCCTATCATTTATTGATGTATCTGTTAATTTTAAGTATGAAAGTTCAAGGAAAAATCCCAATATCATTTAATGGTTTCTTTTCTTGTTCCAGGAAGTGGAATTTCATTAGCGCAAGAGCTGTTAAAATTATGAGGTGTGTGTCTGTCTCTGTGTGTCTGTCTCTGTGTGTCTGTCTCTGTGTGTGAACAAGCACATGGTCTTATTGTCTTATCCCAGCAGGATTCATCTCAGGGAAGAGATGTTTACACAGATGATGCAACCATTCTGGCAGTGTCCTAAACTCCAAAAATGATGCCTCCTTAAAACTTCAAGGCTTCTTCAGATTTTTTACTTGCCTCGACCCTGCATTAAGAAAATGGAGTGATCCTTAAAGCGCACCTATCACTAAGAAAATCCTTGTCATTCAATTACTTGATAAATTATGTCCTCTCTCCTTTGTATCCAGATGTATATACAAGTAGGACAGAAGAGAAAGGTTTTGCAGTCCTTCTGGAACATAAAAATGAAAAAAATATTTTTTAAGGAACATGATAAAATTAACTAAAAAGAAACCTTTTCTGTTCAAAATGTTTGGTCAGTATTGAAAGGACCCAATGTGGCTTTACAATGAGGTGGAGTGCTGGCTCTGATTAGTTTTTTTTCCCCAAGAACATCTGAGGTTGGGATTATACATTGTAGCTATCCATTTTTTGGTTTACTGTTCTTTCAAATCCTTATTTTGTTTGAAGAGAATGGTGGAGAGACTTTTCATATATTGCATAATTTATCCAATTTATATTGATTCTAGGTCTTGTTTTATATATTTCTAAAGCTTCATTTTTGCATATATTGCCATTACCTTTTTCTGTTCAAAATAACTCTTCACTGAACAAGTACAATGAATCTACAATAACAGCATTTTTAATATACTCACAGGCATTGCTATTTGCATGCGAGAAGGTTATATTTCTGACTTTGTTTATGTCTAAAGAGTTAGAACAGGCATAAACTTGTGAATTTGTTACTTAAGAAACTATTTGTACATATTTTGTTTTTATTATATGATACAGTATTTCAGATTTTTTTCAATTAGCTGTATTTGTAAGTACTGTGTACCTTGCCCAGCTAATAAAACAATTGGTTGATTTTAATTTGAAGTTTTTGATATGATCGTGTGTGTTTAAGGGTATGTATAAAATGGTCATAACCTGCTTTGTACTTCATAATAAAAGAAAATGAGAGATCATGGAGTAGTAAACTCTCAGATAACCATTTTATTTTACTGTATGGATGATTTTGCAGAATTCCTTCTTTGTACAAACAGGTGATTAGCGCAGTCACATTTCACTAAGGGGCATTACCAGTTTGTAGCTCTGCCCTTCAGACTGACAACAGCCCCTTGGGTGTTCAAGCTACTGGTGCCAATGCTAGCCTTGCTGAGATATCCATTATAGGTTGTCTGGTTGATCTGCTCACTCAAGCAGACTTGTGCTCCAAATTGGAGGCTTGGCAATTGAAATGTGGACCCCATAAGAGTTCATCTAAACCTCAAGAGGTCGTTTCTAACACCATTACTTTGCTTGAAATTTCTGTGCCTGATTTTGGATACCAGTCTAGCCAGGGTATTTCTATTATTGAACCTTCTCGCAGGTGTGCATCTATTCACAAGTGCATGCAACCCCTGGGTCTTGTCACCTTGTTTTGGGCAGTCTGTTATACACAACATTACACCCAGTGTGACGTATATGCCCGGCCCGAACCCGCTGAACCTCAGACATATGGGACTATACTCAGTTCTGAACCGAGCAAGCCATCACAAGGGCATGGCGATACCACTCTCAGCCTCAACCTGCACAGTTTTTTCCCAGCTTGCAGGGCAACATCTCCAGCCAGCAGGCTGAGAGCGATCCTCACTAGGGTTGGTTAACTCCACATTTAACCCTTTACACACCACTTTCGCTGCCACCATGTGTTTTTAAAGAAAAACATGGACCTTTCCTAGCAAGTGCTGTGACAATTCAAAACACTTAAAGCCTATGATACCACTGTCCTCTCAAATCGGAATATAACCGGTCTCACTATACAGTAGCGCTCTTCACAGAGGCAAGGATACTTAAAGTTCTTATTTAGAGCGTAGAGATAAGCTTAACGATTTTTAAGATCGTCCTTTAATAAAAGAAACTGCAGAAAATATACAGAAAATGTTTTCTTTGGAAAGAGAGACAAACTACATATAGTAACCAGCTGTGCCCAAAAATGCCATAACTTGTTTCTTTGTGGGGTAGGCCAGGCCTTGATGACATCCACCTTCCCAGTCTCGGGCTTCAGAATTCCTCCTCCTACCCGGTGTCCCAAGTACTGGGCATGGGTCATGCCTATCTGACTTTTACTGAGTTTGTCAGATTGGCCAACTTCAATTTGTCCAGGACATGTGACAGGTGCACCAGTTGTTCTTCCCATGTGGGACTGAACACCGCAATGTCATCCAGGTAGGTTACTGCAAAGGCCTCCAGCCCTTTCAGTAGGTCATTCATAACCCTCTGGAATGTGGCTGGGGCATCTTTCATCCCAAACGGCATTACTGTAAACTCAAATAATCCGAATGGGATGATGAAAGATCATTTTTCCCGGAGCCTCAGGTGTGTGAGGAATTTACAAATACCCCGGGCTCAGGTTCATGATTGCTAGATAGTGGCAGCTGCCAGCTTATGCAACAACTCCTCAATCCTGGGTAATGGGGTAGGCATCTGCAGTGGTGATGACATTCAGCTTTCTGTAGTCCACTCAGAGCCTGGTCCTCTGATCCTTCTTGGGCACCAGGACTACAGGCGATTCCCAGGCACTGGGACTTTTAAATGACCCTCAGCTGCAGCATTTCCTCCATTTCCTTTTTTATGTCTGCCTGCACCTCCTATTGAGACTCGATAGGCCGACTGTTGACTGGAAGATGCACCCCAGTGTCCACCTGGTGGAGAGCTAAGTGCGTCCTTCCTGGTGAACTGGTCACGGTACACTGCCAGCACTCCCCACACCTGATGTATCTGGGTAGAAGACAGGTGTGCATTGATATGTGTCTCCCTCCCTCGTGTCAGCTAATAAATCTAGCAGTGGGTCTGCCTCTTCTTGCTAAGGCACTCTCCAGCTAGAATAAGTCCCCGTTCTCTCTAAGCAAGGAAATTCAGGTAAGACACCAAGTCAAATCGTCTTGCCTGGTGGCTTTGTTTCCCAATGCTTCTCACCAATAAGCCATTTTTGTTAGTCTAAATCAAAGTTGAAGACTCTTGAGAAATTGGCTCCACCCAGGGTGAAGTCGGCAAGCTAGCTTTTTTTTTTAGCACGGTGGAATGACATGTGAGAGACTGTAGATGGAAAGGGCTCTCTGACTCATTCATTTTGATAGGAATACATTTTTACAAAAACATGAATTTATGTGCTGTCCAAACACTTCCAGAGACCATTTTTATGGTAGTCGAGAACTAAATCTAATGGTAAACTCCCCCCATGGTCTCCTCTTTATAGTATAGAAACTATGAAAAGAATGATTCTCCCATCAGTTGGCTGAAAACTCTTCCCCATAATCTAATATAGACACATGTAGATGGCTACAAAAGGCAATGCATGTACAGATTCTGATTACACAAGCTGTGCCCTTCAGAGATACAAGTTTAAGGACATAATGGAGATTACAAATTACAAGATGGTGTCTTTTGAGTTACAACCAAGCTCAGGGGAACTACAAGTGGTAATAATTACTAATAATGCCTAACCATTTGCCCCTCAATGCATATCGAAAACAACATTTCTGTAACCGCAATTTGATAACCAAATAATAGCAGTCTCTGATAAAAAATGTTGATTTTACAATAAAAACCACATACAATACTAAACAATGAGCAATAATACAAATAACTACAAAATTGTGTGTTAGACACTGTACATAAGCCCTGTTCAAGTTAAGAACCTTGACACTTTATCTCACCAAGAAACATTTTAATCCTATTTTTTTGTTTATAGTCAGGTCTCATTTTCTTACATTTTTGTAATCTCAGTGTGAGCAAGAGGTAAATTATATCTTTGATATGTCCTATGAAATTGCTGTGTGACATAAATGATCTACGGATATTTAATATCTTTCATCCCAAAATATTTCAGTAGCTGAATTAGTACAATATAAGTATTTGTACATTATCCTTGGCAAGTTTGATATGTAATCTTCAAACCCATTATTATTTACGAGTGATTTATATAGCGCCAACAGTTTGAGCAGCGCTTTATAATATAAAACATTTCTCCATTTTCTCTGTGGACGTGTTCTCCACTTACAGCAATCTAAGGAAAACTTCCCCTGCAAAGTGCAAATATCCTTGCAAATCGAACAACCTATTTGCTTTAAGTAAATCAACCCTAAATTCTGTATGTCAATCATATTAAAAATTCCAACAGTTGTCCCAACCCTACCTAACAAAGTGTGATACCAGGCTATCCTTACTCTACATTTCCTATTCACAGAATTTGAGGTAAAGTTAATCCAAAGTAAGTTAGCAAATGGTCTACTTTGTGAGAACTATTACATTATATGCTACAATTACATATTTAAATACCACATAAATAACTCGTACTAAACTAAAAGTTGGGTAGAAGTAAATACCAGACGTCAATGCCAACATGGGGTCCGTTATATTTCCCACTACCTGTAAGATCAATACAAGTCTTTTTTACACATACTGTATAGCCCGACCTGTGTAAGAAGGAATCAGTTGCTGGAATTCAGAGTGTTGTAGACACAGAAATCTGGCTCCCATCTGTGCAACAAATGGCAAAACTGGCAACAGATTCCTGCAACTGTTGCAGAATTTTGACTGCAGCATCATTTACCCCACCATGGAAGAGGTCTCTTTACCGTCACTTTTCTTAGCACCAATATGGTGGTATTTCTTAATGAATTTTTTACAGCCATAGTACCAGAATGTAAAAAGTGTCTCACATTAGAACTACCTGAATTTGTCATGTTGGAAATGGCAAGAAAACTGTCCCACAGCTTTCATTTAGCAGCATATAAAGTAATTTCTCTTCAGATATACTTTCCTCCACATAGATCTATCCTAGGCTCCTCAAGGACCTGAGGCGCACTGCCTCTACTTCCCTCTCTGAGAGAGAAGATTTCTGGTGCTATCTTATACCCGTACCATTGTCCCTTACCACTACCCTCCCCATTCCCCCTTTCCCCAGGTGCCTTTAATATAAACGCAACGGATATCCATCAATGTCTTTGTCAAAAACAACTGGGGTTCTACTCTAGTTTAAATAACAAGTATGATTTCTCACACCTGAGTGAGGCGCCTGACCGCCTTCCTGTTCTATACATTGGCTGTTGGAGTGCATTCAGAGATGTCATATTATTGCTTTGGACGTGGACTAGTCAGGCTGCATTGCTACTACTCCCTGGGCCGGCGCTCTTGTCCGTGGAAGCGATGAGACATCCCCCCTGCATTAGGGGAACCGTCGCCACGTTATGTCATTACCACTTGGGACCAGGAAATGTTTGGGTCGGGTCCTGATAGAAGTGGCTACACCCCCAGGCTTCTGGGCACTGTTCTTGCACTTGGTGCTTGAGTTTTGGTTACGTTAAGGGATCCATGTTATCAGTGTTGT